AACAACGGGATATTTCGAAGTAAAAAGGACAGGGCTCCTGTCCTCTGAAGGCTCACTGTGTAGGGGCCACAAACCCAGGTGTTTTCAGGAGCCAGGCAAACAACAAGAAGGCGAAAGAGCTTGGCATCACCCAGTGTTAGCAGATCCCCTTCTTCAAAAGAAGCTGGGGATCTGGGTTTTCATATCTCCAAATTTTCAACAGCAACTCATTACATATTAAAATGACAACAAACGCTGTGCAGACCAGATCAACAGGGTTATTAGACTTCTTTTTTTTTTCCAGGGTTATTAGTCTTCTGATCTAGATTCTAGAAGTTAAATTAACATGCCCATGGGAACCGTTATAAAAGCAAGCTGGGAGGGAGGGAGGAAAGAGGTCTGCCAGCCCCGATTCAGAGGAGAGAAGGGAGCTTCTAGCACTGAAGGATGAGGCTGTTAGCTGCTCCTTGAAGGACAAGGAAAAAATCAACCCCACCCCACCCCCGCCCCCCACCAAAAAAAGTCCTTATCTGTTTTGCTAATCAAAGTCAAATGAAGAGATCGGGAAGTTTGAGGTCTGTGCTCACACTTCATGGGGAGTGTGTGCTGGGACCCGCAGGTGGATGGGAAAGTTCCCAGGATGGGTTCTGAGGACTGGAACAGGCAGGACTTGGATCTTCACAGTCTGGAGAATGGAGTGTGTGAATCCGATGGGTCCTGAGCCAGGATTCAAAGAAGGTGGGACACACGGTGATAAGGTGATGGGGGGGTGGAGCGGGGAGGGGAGGAGGGAATGTGTTTGGGTCAGGCCAGCTTGGGGGTGATGATTTAGGAGGGTGTGAGGACATAGCCCAAGAAAGGTGAGACAGCTTCTGTCCTACGCTGGTTCTTTAGTTTGCAGTCTCCATTGCAAATAAGGTAACCTTGTAGTTTTAACTACCCCCTCACTGCCTCTGCACCCCAAATCTGTCTCCAGTTCAGATATCTTTGCTCAAGCCCCAAACCCACGTATACAACCGCTTACTGGGTATTTACACGTGGGTTAAACTTCAACATATCTTACTGCAAAGTAAACTGACCAAGTATGTTCACAGCAGCGTTGTTAGTAGGCCGAAAGGGGAAACAACTCAAATGCCCTTACACGGGAGACGGGATAAACATCAACAATGAGTGCCGTTCAGCAATACAAAGAGACAAATTACCGATTTATGCAAAAACATGGACGCATTTCAAGAACATTTTGATGAGCGAAAGAAGCCAGGCACAAGAGTACACACTCTACGATGCCATTCAGCTGAATAAAGAACAGACAGAACTGACCTATGGGATAGAAACCGGAACAGAGATCGCCTTAGTGGGAGGGGCGGGTCGACTGGGAACTTTTGGAGGGTGATGGAAATGTTCCGTGTCTTGTTTGGGGTTTGGGTTACATGGGTGTGTGCGTTTGTCAAAATCCGCAGAGCCGTGCACGTGAGACTGGTGCACTACGTGGTACCCAGCTCGATTTTCAAAACATGAGTAAAGAGAAAAATGGTGGATGCTTTGTTAGCCATGGTTCCTAAGTGGTAACAGTGCAATATGCATCCCATGAGGGGGAAATAAACCTTGCAGTTTTAAGCTGCTGTGGGGAAGAGGGGATCTCAACATGTCTGAAATGACACCGGTCATCTCTGCCCACCCTCTTCCCCACACTTCCAAACTTGCTCCTCTTCCGCTTCTTCTCATCTCAGTGGAAAGAACCAGCATCCTGCCAGTTGGCCAGAACAGAAGCTGGAGCTGTCCTTTATCTCCGATCTCCCTTCTCCCTTGCCCAATGTGCTACCCAGCCGGGGTCAGTCTGTCTCCCAAACAGGTCCACTTTGTTCCATCTACACGGCAGACAAATGAGTCCATCATTCTTTTTTTTTTTTTTTTTTAAGACAGGGTCTCCCTTTATCACTAAGGCTGGAGTGCAGTGGTGCGATCATGGGTCACTGCAACCTCCGACTCCTGGGTTCCAACTCCTGGGCTGATCCTCCCACCTCAGCCTCCTGAGTAGCTGGGACTACAGGCACACACCACCATGTTTGGCTCATCATTTCTCTCCTTAATAATGCAGTAACTTCCTAGTGATCCCCTAGCCCACATGCTGGGGGTCTCCTCTCTCCACTCAGAGTGACCTTTTAAATTTTTTAAGGTCATACCATAGCCCTGCTTCAAACCTTTCAAAGGCTGCCTGTCATGCTTACAGTCAGCCTGAATTTCTTAAGGTCCTTTCAACCCTTTGTCTGCCTCTTGTGTCATATCTGCCTTGCACTTCATGCTCCAGCCAGATGATGTTTCATTCTTTGAATGTGTCTTCCCCTCTGCTCCATAAATGCCGTTCCTGCTGCCAATACCAGTTTATCTGCCTCAGCAACCCCAACATACCTTTTGGACACAGTATGGAGGACCCAATCCCAGCTAGAATGCACTTTTTTTGAGAGTATCTGCATCCTTTTTGCCCTCTGATGTATCCTCAGCACCTAGAGCAGCACCTATCATGTAGCAGGTACTCAATAAGAATTTTTGGTTTGTTTGTTGGTTTGTTGGTGACAGGGTCTTGCTCTGTTGCCCAGGCTGGAGTGCAATATAGTGATCATAGCTTACTGCAGCTTCCAACTCCTGGGATTAAGGGATTCTCCTGCCTTAAACTTCCCAAGTAGCTGGCACTACAGGCCCACTGTGACCATGCCCAGCTAATTAAACTTTTTTTTTGAGATGGGGTCTGGCTGTGTTGCCCAGGCTGGTCTTGAACTCCCGGTTTCAAGCAGTCCTGCCTCAGCCTTCCAAAGCTTTGGGATTACAGGCATCAGCCACCACATCCAGCCTTAATAAATGTTTTTTGAATGAATGAATGAATCTTTCCTGATATTCAAAACTTTGGAAAGATTTATGTTGCCTCTTCATCTTCAAAACAACCAAATAATGCAACAATAATAATAGATACCATTCACTGAGCATCTATTGTGTGCCAGGAATGATACTAAGAACTCTGTGATACATCATTTCATGTCATTATCTCCATTGTCTTGAAAAGGTGATGAATGTTTAGGAAGCTTCAATCACCAAATGCAATTAAGTGCCTTCTCTGTGCCACACTCCTCTAGGTACCAGGGAAACAGTGGAAAGCAGAACAGACAAAATCCTTGCTCTCGGGGAGCTTACATTCTGGTATAAGGAGAAAGACGATAAATTGGGAAACAAGTAAATATATGGTTTGTAAGATGGTGACAAGTGTTTTAGAGAAAAGCAAGTAAGTGAGGCAGATGGAGATTGCTGAGAGTAATTTTATGTAGGGTGTTCAGGGAAGAGCCCTCTTATCAGAGGTGAGAGAGTTCCGGGGAAAGAGTGCTCTGAGCAGAGGGAACAGCAGGTGCAAAGGCCTTGGGCTAAGAGCGTGTTTGGTGCATTCAGAGAGCAGCCAGGAGGCCAGTGTGGAAGTAGAAAGGAGACTGAAATCAGAGGGAGTCCAGAGGGACTCAGTCATCTGTGGTCTTTGGTTTTTACTTTGAGAATAGTGGGAAGGTATATATATTGGGCAGAGGAGTGTTATGACTTAACTGATGTGTTCTGGACCACACAGCTGATTCATGTCAGAGAATTCTACCACGAGACTTTTTTTTTTTTTTGAGTGAGAGAGAGATGGGATCTTACTCCCTCACCCAGGCTGGAGGGCAGTGGTGTGATTACAGCTCACTGCAGCCTCTAACTCCTGGGCTAAAGCTATCCTCCCACCTTGGCCTCCCAGGTAGCTGGGATGACAGGTGCACACCACCATGCATGGCTAACTTTATTTTTGTAGAGACAGGGTCTTGCTATGTTGTCCAGGCTGTTCTCAAACCTCTATCCTCAATTGAATCTCCTGTCTCAGCCTCAAAAATTGTTGGAATTACAGGTGTGAACCACTGTGCCCAGCCACACATGAGCTTTTAACTCCACAGTTTTCTCTCTGCTAGAAGTGAATCCAGTAACGAAGTCCTGGCAGCTTCAGGTCTCCTGCTCATGGCTTCCGGTTCTTGTCTCATTCCAAAGCACCTGCTGCCACTCTGAGCCCCATTCCTCCGCTCATGGTGAGGAGTCCCTCTCCCATTACACTGAGGACACACATGAATGAGGACACCTCATTCATCTATATATGCAACAAATATTTAGCTGGGAACTATACTAGTTGTCAGGAAAACCACAGAGAATGAGAAATATTCCGTGTCCGCAAGACAGTCTCCAGTTTATTGGAAGGAAACAAGTGGACAGGCAGTTATCCTCCAGTATTAATGGAAAGAGAAGTGGATGAAGAAAATCAGAGGAGAAGCTAGTGCAGACAGAGAGAATCGATGAGGGCTTCCCTGAGGACATGAAGATGTGAACCCCTAGCTGGGTTGTTGAAGGGGAGAGAATAGCCATTTGTACCACAGTAGCAGCAGCAGATGCAAAGGCCCTGTGGTTGGAGGGGCCTGGGACATCCAGGGGAGTGAAAGGAGAGTGAAGCTACGTTGTAGGGAAGAAGCACCCTAGCAATGATGGAGTTGGAAAGCCAGGTAGGGCCTGAACATATAAGTCCATGAAAGCACCTCAATCTTTATCGTGAAAATAATGGGATGCCACTGCGGCATTTTAAGCAAGAGGGGACTTGGTTGGGTGAGAGACTCACTGTGGTCGTGTGTGAAGCCCAGTGTAAAGGAAAGCAATGTGCCTTGTGCAGGTGAGAGATGATGGCAGGTAGTGGTGGTTGAGATGGAAAGAAGTAGATGAATTCTAGAGACAGCTGGGAGGGAAGAAATGACAGTTCCTGGTTACGGTTGAGACATGAGGGATCAAAGAAAGATGGAAGTGCAAAGGATGTCCGACAGGTTTCAGGCTTGTGGAGTGATGCACGGCCATGCTTTCCACGGGGACAGGGTGCGGGAGCTGCAGGAACCACAGCTTCCCACTGTGTGCCTGTGTCTTCCTACAAGATCATCCTTAAACCCTGAGCATGTTTTCCGTGTGCTTCCTTTTTGCAGAGGGCCAAGATCAGTCAGGGAACCAAAGTCCCGGAAGAAAAGACGACCAATACTGTCTCCAAATTTGACAACAATGGCAACAGAGACCGGATGAAACTGACTGATTTTAACTTCCTAATGGTGCTGGGGAAAGGCAGCTTTGGCAAGGTATGGTATGATTTGGTGACTCCACCTGCTCTAGAAGGAACATCTAACAAGGCAGGCACATTTGCTGTTCCTATGGGACGGACGTCCTAGTGGGAGAGAGAGTAAGAAGTAAATAGACCCACACTACACTTTGTAATGAATACCATGAAGGAAATGAATGGAGTGCTCTCTCACAAACAAAAAAGGGACCCGTTCAGACAGTCTGAGGAGGTGACACATACGCTGAGACCTGGAGGATAAGAAAGAACTAGCTATACTTTCAAAGAGCTAGGAAAAAATGTTCTCAGAAGAGAGCAAGTGCAAAAGTTCCAAGGTGGGGACAGGCTGGGTGCATCCTAGGAACCATTAGAAGGTGTTGGGGCAAAATGTCGCTAGTAGAAGGAGGTATAGGATTTGATGTTGCAGAGGTAAGCAGGACCCAAGGATACAAATCTTATAAGCTACGGTGAGGAGTTTGGGTTTCATTCACATTGCAGCGGGGAGCCACTGAACGTTTTTAAGCAGAGCAGCGATATGATCGGATTTGCCTTTTGGAAAAGATCGCTCTGACAGCTGAGAACGGAAATGGTTCCTTTCAAACAGTAGCACAGTGGAAGGGTGACCCTGGGACTCGTAGAGTGGTTCTGGATGCTTTTATAGATACTGCGAGATGCTGTTTTACTGAAGTTGAGATTGTGTTATAAGTATTTCTGACTCGTTTAATGTTGTTTTGGGGTTTTTAGTCCCTTTGCGTGCCATGAAGATGTCTAGCATAAATCTCATACCATGAACTCAGGTGTGCAAAAAATATAAATTTATTTTCCATCTATGTAGCATAAGCCAAAAACCTGGGAGTTATCCCTGAGTTTCCCCCTTTGCTGTATTTCCACCATCCCTACCCACTGCCCCCCACAACCATGTACAATGCACTTGCGAACGCTGACAGTTCCTTCAAAGTATATCATGTATTCACTAACTTCTCTTCATCTCTCTAATACCACCCTAGTCCAAACCATTAATATCACCTGGATAAGTGCAGAAACTCCTCAGTGGCTTCTCAATCCCAATCTTGTTACCTGTCATTAATCTCAATCCCAATCTTGTTGCCTATAATTAATCCCAATCCCAATCTTCCTTGCCTATAATTAATCCCAATCCCAATCTTCTTACCTATAATTAATCCCAATCCCAATCTTGTTGCCTATGATTAATCCCAGTCCCAATCTTGTTGCCTATAATTAATCCCAATCCCAATCTTCTTGCCCATGATTAATCCCAATCCCAATCTTCTTGCCTATAATTGATCCCAATCCCAATCTTCTTACCTGTAATTAATCCCAATCCCAGTCTTGTTACCTATGATTAATCCCAGTCCCAATCTTGTTACCTATGATTAATCCCAATCCCAGTCTTGTTGCCTATAATTAATCTTGTTACCTATAGTTAATCCCAATCTTCTTGCCTATGGTTAATCCCAATCCCAATCTTGTTGCCTATAATTAATATACTTTCTACTTCACAGCCCTAATAATTTTTTAAAGCTTACATTAAGTCAAGGAGCTCCCCTGCTTAAGACCCTCCAATGACTTTCCATCCAATTAGAAGAAATTCTGTGTTACATCCTTAGCTTGTATCACCCTTTATCATCTGGCCCTTGTTCTCTGTGTGACTTCTTTTCTTCTTTTCCTCCTCCCCATCACCCACTGTGCTCTGGCCACAACATCAGCTCTTGGGTCACTGAAACACACAAAGCTCCTTTCCCCCTTAGAGGCTTTGTGATTCTGCTCACTTTGCTGTTTGCATGGCTGGCTCCTTTCTGCAATTCACATCTCAACTTAGACGCCACCTCTTCTGAAAAATCTTCCCCAACTACCCACTCAAAGTTGCCTCTCATTCACTGTCCGTTATATTTAACTCTCTCATAGCACCCATTACTGAGTGATGCTTTTCTTGTGTCCTCGTTGATTTTTCTCTCTTCCCTTCCTAAGGTCTAAGCTCTACAAGAATAGGGATTGTCTCTGTCCTGGTTGCCATTGTGTTCTCAGAGCCTAGGGATGGAATTCATTCAGTGCCTAGACTGAATGCATGGATTCTCTGTCTGTGGGTGGCAAGGGTATCCGCTGAGATGGACTAAGTGATCTGAAATGATGGCTCAAAGTCTGAAGAACCTCAGCATGGGATGGGAATAGAGAGTAAGGGCAACCAGTAAGATGGCCCATCCAGTCCCTAAGGTTGGGAATAGGCAGTTGGCAGTGGTCCACAATGTTGTATGGTTTTTACCAGCAACTCTGAGCATCCCTGGGGTAGAGATGGAGAAGGAGATGGTGGATTTGAGCTAAGGGTGAGATTAGTAGAATCAGTGAGCTAGATTATGGAAGAAAGAGAGTTAAGGATTCTGGGAAGAGAGATGTCCACTGCAGATCCACAGAGGCTGTACCAAGTGCTCAGGAAAAATGTGTTGAATACATGAATGAAAATGGTATCTAGATTGGGTTGGGGAAGACGTCTAGCATAAAGAGAGTCATCACCTGGGTGGGAAAAAGGGAGTTTAGAAGTCTAGGGATGAAAAAATAATGGATGAGGTCAAAATACGTAAAATGTTAGGAAGAATTGAGGCATTTAGATTTCAAACATGGAGCAGTCTCTCTGATGATGGGGAAGAAAGTGGCCTAAATAAAGAAGAGGTTCTAATAAGCTGAGTTTTTAAAAATTAAATGAGCACTTTTTTTTTTTTCTTTTTCAGACAGAGTGTCACTCTGTTGTCCAGGCTGGAATATAGTGGTGCATTACGGTTCACTATAGCCTCGACATGCTGGACTCAAGCAGTCCTCCTGCCTCAGTCCCCTGAATAACTGGAACTACAGGCATGCACCACCACGCCTGACTAATTTTTGTTTTTGTTTTTGTTTTTTTGAGTCAGAGTCTCATTCTGTTGCCCAGGCTGGAGTGCAATGGCGCCATCTCGGCTCACTGCAACCTCTACCTCCCTGGTTCAAGTGACTCTCCTGCCTCAGCCTTGTGCTTGGCTAATTTTTGTAGTTTTTAGTAGAGACAGGGTTTCACCATGTTGACTAGGCTGGTCTCGAACTCCTGACCTCATGTGATCCCTTCGCCTCAGCCTCCTGAAGTGCTGGAATTACCAACATGAGCCACCGCGCCTGGCCTAATTTTTGTATTTTTTTGTAGAGACGTGATCTCACTATGTTTCCCAGGCTGTTCAAGTACTTATTAGCTCAAGCAGTCCTCCTGCCATGGCCTCCGAAAGTGCTAGGATTACAGATGTGAGCCCCTGCACCTGTCTTAAATCATACACACACACACACACACACACACATATATATATTTCATATATATATGTGTGTTTTGTTTTTTTTTTTTTGAGACGGCGTTTCTCTCTTGTTGCCTAGGCTGGAGTGCAATGGCACAATCTCGGCTCACTGCAACCTCCCCCTCCCGGGTTCAAGTGATTCTCCTGCCTCAGCCTTTTTGAGTAGCTGGGATTACAGGCATGCGCCACCACACCCAGTTAATTTTCCACTCTTAGTAGAGACAGGGCTTCTCCATGTTGGTCAGGCTGGTCTTGAACTCCCAACCTCAGGTGATCCACCTGTCTTGGCCTCCCAAAGGGCTGGGATTACAGGCGTGAGCCACTGCGTTTGGCCGTGATATTCTTAATAAGCAATGCATTCACATGGTTCATCATTAAGATTATATTAAAAGGATAAACACTGAGAAGTCCTGCTCCTACCCAAGTTCATATCTTTCTGTGACCACTCACTGTTGCTGCTCTCCCTATGTGAACACTTTTATTGTGTTAATTTGTGTCTTTCCAGTCCCCCTGAGGTAATCTAACATTTTTATTCTTGTCCTTGTTAACTCAAAAGTTTGTGTACTGTGCCTGTTTTTGATCACTTAACAAAACAGATGAGAGGATGTTTGATGGAGGATTGGAAGTTCTGGAGGATCCCATGGGAAGGATGGGGGTTGGGGGATAGTGGGTGGAGTTGTGGGAGAATGGATCACTGGGGAGCAATGAGAGAATAGATCATATGTCTCCATGGAAACTGTTATAATCATTGAGAGCTCTGTTCCAGACTGGAGATGTAGCATCAAATAAATCATAGATGAAAACAACAGTATGTCATGAAAGCAAAGTAGAATAACAAACACCTCTATGATCCTTTAAAACAGAGTAATCCTTTGCAACTCTTGTATTGCCAACCAGGGTTGTAAATTAATGCAGGTTTTGTATTTGAATTCCAACTTTGAACATTTTGCAGTCTGGTTAGGTACATAGATCAATCTCCATAAACAGAAGAACACAGCTGCAGTGATTTACTCTTCCCCTTCTGAAGATGAAAGAGATCAGGCTTTGGGGTAATCTGTTTCCACCTCCCTTAACCCAGGAAAAACAAAACAAAACAAAATATGTTTTTAAACACTAATGGCCATGAGCGGTGGCTCACACCTGTCCCAGCACTTTGGGAGGCCGAGGTAAGCAGATCAAAGTCAGGAGTTCAAGGCCAGCCTAGCCAATATGGTGAAATCCCATCCCTACTAAAAATACAAAAATTAGCTGGGCATGGTGGCGGGCACCTGTATTCCCAGCTACTCAGGAGGCTGAGGCAGGAGAATCACTTGAATCCAGGAGGCGGAGGTTGCAGTGAGCCGATATCGTGCCACTGCACTCCAGCCTGGGTGACAGAGCAAGACACTTGTCTCAAACAACGACAACAACAACAACAACAACAACAACAACCACACTAATAATTTGTGGGGTGACTAGGGAATGGCACAAGCCTTTGGTAAGACCTGTAAAAATGGAACAAGGCAGGAAGCAAGGGTGAAGGACATTGAATTTCAAATATGTAAGCTCGTTTCAAAATCTTCCAAAAGAAGAAAACTGGAGAGTTTGTTTTTTTGAACAGGCAAAAGTGTTTACCTGGAAGGGCTATCATACCAAAGCGGGGCCTGTTGGCATGGCTGGCTTACTCGGAGGTAGATGCCTTCTAGGACTTTTA